ATAATACCTCCTTATACCTCATAATACCTCATATTACTTCATAATACATCATAATAATACCTCATAATACCCTCATAATACCCTCATAATACCTCATTATACCCCCATACCTCATAATACCTCATAATACCTCATTATACCTCATAAGTCATAATACCCTCATAATACCCTCATAATACCTCATAATACCCTCATAATACATCATAATAATACCTCATAATACCTTCATACCTCATAATACCCTCATACCTCATAATACCTCCTAATACCTCATTATACCTCATTATACCCTCATAACACTTAATTAAAGGTGGAAAGAAACCAAGTTCATTTACTCAAGTACTGTACTTATGTACAATTTGAGATACTTGGTGTCTCCCCAGCTCTGCGTATCTGAGACTTGTTTACAAAGACAGACAGGTGTTTACCAGCAGCTGGTCTTCCTCCCTCCGCTTCCTCTGCTCCTCCACAGTCCTGGTCCTCACAGAACCTGGTTCACATTGTTGGACAGAAGCCGGTTTACTTTCTTCACAACAGTCCCTGTACCGCCTGCAGTGTGACACTATTGGATCGGGACTACAGACCTGTTCAGGGACCTGATGACGTCCACAACAGGGTCCCAGAGGAGGTCCACACCTGACCTGCTGGTCTGCAGTTCACCAAGAGGGCGGGCTGAGTGGACTGGCTTTCTGGATTTGGGACGAGCCGAGAGGCCTTCCTGCAAGGCAAAACACAAAGGGGATCCAAATGGATTTTAGAAGAGACAAGAGGTGGTCCAGGAAGACAAGAGGTGGTCCAGGAAGACAAGAGGTGGTCCAGGAAGACAAGAGGTGGTCCAGGAAGACAAGAGGTGGTCCAAGAAGACAAGAGGTGGTCCAGGGACACAAAAGGTGGTCCAAGAAGGCAAGAGGTGGTCCAGGAAGAAAAGAGGTGGGCCAAGAAGACAAGAGGTGGTCCAAGAAGACAAGAGCTGGTCCAGGAAGACAAGAGGTGGGCCAGGGAGAAAAGAGGTGGGCCAGGGAGACAAGAGGTGGTCCAGGGAGACAAGAGGTGGTCCAGGGAGACAAGAGGTGGTCCGGGAAGACAAGAGGTGGTCCGGGAAGACAAGAAGTGGGCCAAGGAGACAAGAGTTGGTCCAGGGAGACAAGAGATGGTCCGGGAAGACAAGAGGTGGGCCAGGGAGGCAAGAGATGGGCCAGGGAGACAAGAGGTGGTACAGGAAGACAAGAGGTGGTCCAGGAAGACAATAGGTGGGCCAGGGAGGCAAGAGGTGGTCCAAGAAGACAAGAGGTGGGCCAGGAAGACAAGAGGTGGGCCAGGGAGACAAGAGGTGGTCCAGGGAGACAAGAGGTGGTCCAGGAAGGCAAGAGGTGGGCCAAGAAGATAAGAGGTGGTCCAGGGAGACAAGGAGGAAGAAGCTGTGATTGAGAACACTACCCTGTAATACCAGTACAGTACATATTGTACACGGTGGAGATGGGAGAGTACTAACAGACCTGTGAACCAGACTGAAACAGAGAGACATCACCTACCAATGAAATGTCGAGGTACTGACAGCGCTTCCTGACTTCTTCATTCACTGATGACAGGAGGGACAACACCTGATCTGGAGACACCTGCAGACAGACAGACACATTAAAGTTAGAATAGAATAGAATAGAATAGAATAGGGAGGGATGAAACCCTCTTTAATGGTCACACATGCAGAGCACACAGCACACACAGTGAAATTTGGCCTCTGCTTTTAACCCATCCTAGTACAAGGAGTCTAGTACTAGGAGTACTAGGACCTCCTGTTGTCTCTAGACCCTGTTGGGTAACATGACAGTAGTTCACAGTAATGCAGCAGCCCTGCAACTACACATCATATTACAAAGTACTGTGTGTACCTGTGAGTATACGTGTGTGTACCTGTGTGTGTACCTGAGTGTGTTCCTGTGTGTATACCTGAGTGTGTTCCTGTGTGTGTACCTGTGTGTTTACCTGTGTGTGTACCTGTGTGTGTACCAGTGTGTGTACCTGTGTGTGTCACTGAGTATACCTGAGTGTGTTCCTGTTTGTTCTCCAACAGCCTCCTCAGATCCTCCAACCTGCTGCTGATGGCCGACTGCTGCTGGTTACTGCTGGCTGCCTGCAAGGTCCAACATGTTCAGACAGACAGACGGACAGACGGACAGACCGACGGACGGACGGACGGACGGACGGACGGACGGACGGACGGACGGACGGACGGACGGACGGACGGACGGACAGGCGGACGGACCGACGGACGGACAGACCGATGGACAGACGGACGCACGGACGGACAGACGGGCGGACCGACGGACGGACGGACGGACAGACGGACGGACAGACGGACGGACGGGCGGACGGACAGACGGACGCACGGACGGACAGACGGGCGGACCGACGGACGGACGGACGGACAGACGGACCGACGGACGGACGGACGGACGGACAGACAGACGCACAGACGGACCGACGGACGGACGGACCGACAGGCGGACGGACGGACAGACGGACGCACAGACGGACCGACGGACGGACGGACGGACGGACCGACGGGCGGACGGACGGACAGACGGACGCACGGACGGACGGACGGACGGACGGACCGACAGACAGGCGGACCGACGGACGGACAGACGGACAGACGGACGCACGGACGGACAGACGAACGGACGGACGGACGGGCGGACCGACGGACCGACGGACAGACAGACGGACGCACGGACGCACAGACGGACGCACGGACGCACAGACGGGCGGACGGGCGGACGGACGGACGGACGGACGGACGGACGGACGGACGGACGGACAGACGGACAGACGGACGGACGGACGGACGGACGGACGGACGGACGGACATACGCACGGACGGACGGACGGACGGACGGACCGACGGACCGACGGACAGACAGGCGGACCGACGGACGGACGGACGGACGGACGGACGGACGGGCGGACCGACGGACGGACAGACGGACAGACGGACAGACGGACAGACGGACCGACGGACGCACAGACAGACGGACAGACAGCCAGACGGACGGACAGACGGACGGACGGACGGACGGACGGACGGACGGACGGACAGACGGACGGACGGACGGACGGACGGACGGACGGACGGACAGACAGACGCACAGATGGACCGACGGACGGATGGACGGACGGACGGACCGACGGACGGACAGACGGACGGACGGACAGACAGACAGACAGACAGGTACCTCAGCCTTGATGTGAACTTGTGTGCTGCCGATGATTTTCTGGATCTTCTCCATGAACCCCATCTCAGACTTCAGGAGGGAGAGTTTCTCCTCTAAACTCCCGGACGCCTCCTTCAGCTGTGGAGGAAACTCTCCACATTTCAGATTGTAACGTCAAACAGGTTCTATATATGTTCAGTTTAGAATTGACTGTAAATATATATAAATGATAGCCGTTCAAAACGTGATTTGATCTTTAAAGAGTCCTCTCATGCCGATGTTCAGGTTTATATTAGTGTTTAACAGGGACTCTTTAATAAGGGTTAAAGGTCAAACCTGCTGTAAACTGTGGGACTCGAACGCCTCCAGCTCGGAGGAGATGGATTCCTCTGTGGCATTGATCTGCTTGGTCTCCTCCTTCAGCCTCCTCTGGAACACCTTCACCTCCTGAGGAGCGAAGTCCCCTCCTTCACTGAACAACCTGAACAAAGGAGGAGAGCCTCTTCAGCTCCAGAACTTCCTCAGTGTCCGAGGACAGAGGGAGGAGGAGTTACCTGAAGCAGGTGAGGAGGTGTAGGAGTTACCTGAAGCAGGTGAGGAGGAGGAGGAGGAGTTACCTGAAGCAGGTGAGGAGGTGTAGGAGTTACCTGAAGCAGGTGAAGGGGGGGAGGAGTTACCTGAAGCAGGTGAAGGGGGAGGAGTTACCTGAAGCCGGTGAGGAGGGGGAGGAGTTACCTGAAGCAGGTGAGGAGGGGGAGGAGTTACCTGAAGCAGGTGAAGGGGGAGGAGTTACCTGAAGCAGGTGAAGGGGGAGGAGTTACCTGAAGCCGGTGAGGAGGGGGAGGAGTTACCTGAAGCAGGTGAGGAGGGGGAGGAGTTACCTGAAGCCGGTGAGGAGGGGCAGGAGTTACCTGAAGCAGGTGAGGAGGGGGAGGAGTTACCTGAAGCAGGTGAGGAGAGGGAGGAGTTACCTGAAGCCGGTGAGGAGGGGCAGGAGTTACCTGAAGCAGGTGAGGAGGGGGAGGAGTTACCTGAAGCAGGTGAGGAGGGGGAGGAGTTACCTGAAGCCGGTGAGGAGGGGGAGGAGTTACCTGAAGCAGGTGAGGAGGGGCAGGAGTTACCTGAAGCAGGTGAGGAGGGGGAGGAGTTACCTGAAGCCGGTGAGGGGGAGGAGTTACCTGAAGCAGGTGAAGGGGGAGGAGTTACCTGAAGCCGGTGAGGAGGGGCAGGAGTTACCTGAAGCAGGTGAGGAGAGGGAGGAGTTACCTGAAGCAGGTGAGGAGGGGGAGGAGTTACCTGAAGCAGGTGAGGAGAGGGAGGAGTTACCTGAAGCCGGTGAGGAGGGGGAGGAGTTACCTGAAGCAGGTGAGGAGGGGGAGGAGTTACCTGAAGCCGGTGAGGAGGGGGAGGAGTTACCTGAAGCAGGTGAGGAGAGGGAGGAGTTACCTGAAGCAGGTGAGGAGAGGGAGGAGTTACCTGAAGCCGGTGAGGAGGGGGAGGAGTTACCTGAAGCAGGTGAGGAGAGGGAGGAGTTACCTGAAGCAGGTGAGGAGGGGGAGGAGTTACCTGAAGGCGGTGAGGAGAGGGAGGAGTTACCTGAAGCAGGTGAGGAGAGGGAGGAGTTACCTGAAGCCGGTGAGGAGGTGTGCTGCTCTGCTCCGGACCTCCTGCAGGCGGGACTGGACCGTCTGTCTGCAGGAGGTCTGACAGCGCTGGGTGTGTTTGATATGTTCATCCAGACAGTCCTGCAGGGTGGAGCTTACAGCCTGCAGCCTGCGGACAGAGCAGAGGGTCCATTATCATCAGTACAGTGTGTGTACAGTACAGAGTGTGTGTAGAGTACAGAGTGTGTGTAGACTACAGAGTGTGTGTAGAGTACAGAGTGTTGCCGTTGGAGCTGCTGTCCGCTGACAGGACGTGCTCCTCCATGTTGGACAGGCGGACGGAGAGCTGCTGGTTCCTCCTCCTGACGGAGGACTGAAGCTCCTGCAGCTCCACCCTGCAGGAGGACAGCACCTCCTCCACCTCCTCACAGTGAGCATCCACCTGCTGTCTGTGGAGCTGCAGCTCAGCTACACACACACACACACACACACACACACACACACACACACACACACACACACACACACACACACACACACACACACACACACACACACACACACACACACACACACACACACACACACACACACACACACACACGTTTTTTCTTTACTTATTTTACAGACGTTTTTGGACATTTAAAAAAAATATTTGAACATATTTTCTTCAGACTTTTAAACATAATGTAAGACCTACACACACACCTGGTTTTTTTCTACCTGGGCTCACCTCGGTTATTCTTGGAATTCTTACCACCAGAATAAAAACAATTTATTTGTGTGTGTGTGTGTGTGTGTGTGTGTGTGTGTGTGTGTGTGTGTGTGTGTGTGTGTGTGTGTGTGTGTGTGTGTGTGTGTGTGTGTGTGTGTGTGTGTGTGTGTGTGTGTGTGTGTGTGTGTGTGTGTGTTACCCAGGCGGGGCAGGTAGATGTGGGTCTTGATGTGTCGGGGGTGCAGCTGCTGCATCAGGACTTCCTGCTCCGTAAGGACCGCCTCCTTCCTTTCTGTCATCATGGCAACCGCAGAGCTCAGGACGTCATGGAAACGCTGCTCCAGGTGATCCAAGAACAGCGTCCGTGTCCTGACACACACACACACACACACACAATAAATGTCTCTCCTCAAAAGGAGTTTGGTCTTAAGTCAGCAGTGTAGCGGCAACATGCACATTCAATACATATATCAAAACACTGTGTGTGTGTGTGTGTGTGTGTGTGTGTGTGTGTGTGTGTGTGTGTGTGTGTGTGTGTGTGTGTGTGTGTGTGTGTGTGTGTGTGTGTGTGTGTGTGTGTGTGTGTGTGTACCTGCTCAGTGCATGTGTGAGCAGCTCTGCAGGAAACAGGCTCAGCTGAGTTTCCTGCTGCAGGTCAGGGGCGGGGCATCTGAAGGCGGGGCCACTGTAGGCCACGCCCCTCGCTGATGTAAACGTAACAAAACTGCTGATGTCACAGAAATCTATCAGAGAGGAGTCAGCCTACACACACACACGCACACACACGCACACACACACACACACACATTTGATGCTTTGTTGATGCTTTCTCACTCTGAGCTCACAGCTCCTCATATCTGTTCAGAAACTAGACAAAGGTTAAAGGTCCCATGTCACGTGTTATGGCAGAATGTTTAATACAGCGTATTTCTGATATTCATTAAGGGTCACATGGTATTCCATATGATGTGTGTTACTGACTTGGGTCACACACAGTTAGAGAGACAGTGGTCGTTCTGAATTATCAATAGATGTATTCATTTGAAGTGAGCTGACACCGAGGGTAGACGAAGTTCAGAGAAGGCCTTAGGTTATAAAAAACAGTTCACCTTTGTTAGTTAACTAATCCTAAGGATGTCATGAGATGATGAACCCTGAGACCTGGATTACTCCATCCAACACATCCACCCCAGCAGCTCTCTGCACAGCATATTCCTTCACCCATACACCCAGACCCACTGGCAGAGGAGGTGGTCTCCTGCTCTCTCCCAAATGGAGCTCTTCCCTCTTCAAGCTACCTAACTTCACTCCTTCCTCCTTTGAATTCCATGCCGTCACAGTAACCCATCCTATACAATGAACCATTGTTGTTCTCTACCGTCCACCAGGCGCCTTGGGGGACTTCTTGGAGGAATCTGTCTCCGTCCCCACCAACTCATAAAGCTGGCAATGTCCTTGATCTCATATTCTCAAGGAACTGCACTACTTCTAACCTCTCTGTAAACCCACTTCACACCTCTGATCACTTCTTCATTTCATTCTCTCTACCCCTTTCCAAACATAACAAACTAATCTCTTCTCATCCTGCACCTGTCCGCCGTAACCTTCGTTCCCTCTCCCCCTCTCCCTTTGCCTCATCGGTGCTCTCAGCCCTCCCTTCCTCTGACTCGTTCCAACTCCTGCCTCCAAACTCTGCTGCAGAAACTCTCCTCTCTACTCTTTCATCCTCTCTGGACTCTCTCTGTCCTCTCGCACCTCGACGGGCTCGTCAGTCCCTCCTGCTCCCTGGCTAAATGACGCACTGCGTGCTAATAGAACCATCCTTCAGGCAGCAGAGCGGAAACGGTGGAAATCCAAACACAACCCGCTGCTGCAGATACACTCTTTCCAACATCAGGAGGATACGTCCCCTCCTGACCCAGAAAGCAGGTTCTGGTCCAGGCTCTCGTCATCTCACGCCTAGACTACTGCAACTCCCTCCTGGCTGGTCTACCTGCATGTGCCATCCGACCTCTGCAGCTCATCCAGAATGCAGCGGCTCGTCTGGTCTTCAACCTTCCTAAATGTTCCCACACCACGCCGCTCCTCTGCTCCCTTCACTGGCTTCCAGTAACTGCTAGAATCCACTTCAAGACACTGGTGCTAGCGTACCATGCTGTGAATGGATCTGGCCCTTCCTACATCCAGGACATGGTTAAACTGTACACCCCAGCACGTGCACTCCGCTCTGCATCGGCCAAACGGCTCGCTGCACCCGCACTGCGAGGGGGACCCAAGTTCCCATCAGCAGAAACACGTGGGTTTGATATCCTGGCTCCAACATGGTGGAATGAGCTCCCCATTGACATCAGGACAGCAGAAAGCTTACACATCTTCTTCAGACTGAAGACTCATCTCTTTCCACTCCACTTCGAGCCATAGAATGACTAACAAAGCACTTATATACTAACAAAGCACTTACATACTAACAAAGCACTTACATACTAACAAAGCACTTATATACTAACAAATAAGTCTAATAATAATAATCGTCTTTGTGCTCCTCTCCAACTTTGCCCATTTTCGTATTTTGTACATATTTCTTTTACTTTTGCCGTTTTACTTTTAACATGGTTCGCAACATGCTAGCCGACCGCACCTACTCTGCCATACAATATAGCAGAGAGGAACTTTTCCAATTGCGAAACTTCGTGGACAATATTAACCCTCCGACAGACAATGGAGATTCACCATGGCTACCTGTTGCTGTTCTACCTGAGAGACGCAAGAAGAAGACAAAGCGGGGATGCCGGGCCGGGTTGCTGGTCAGACTGAGAAAACGTGAGAATCGGCCCCCTCTTCCGAGTATTCTTCTGGCTAATGTTCAATCCATTGAAAATAAGCTAGATGAACTCAGAAGCCGGATTGCTTTTCAACGGGACATTAAGAACTGTAACGTGTTAATTCTCACTGAGACTTGGCTCAACCCCGCTATCCCGGGCTCCGCCATTGTCCCTGACGGATTCTCTATTTTTCGTCAGGACCGGACTGCTAACTCGGGGAAAAGTAAGGGAGGCGGTGTGTGTGTAATGACTAACAACAACTGGTGCTCAGATGTGAAGATTATTTCATCGGACTGTTCCGCACAGCTAGAGCACCTCATGATCTCATGTCGGGCCTTCCATCTGCCGAGGGAATTCACATCTGTTGTGATAACAGCAGTGTATATCCCGCCGCAGCCACTCGCCGACAACAACACGGCACTCGATCAGCTGTTTGGGTTTATTGATAAAACCGAGACTTCACGGCCAGATGCGGCGTTCGTTGTGGCCGGAGATTTCAACACCGCCAACATGAAGAAGGTTTTGCCAAAATATTACCAACACATCAACTTCCCGACGCGCGGGGGAAACATACTGGACCATGTTTATTCCCCTTTCCGGAATGGATATAAGGCTCTCCCTCGCCCTCCCTTCGGCAAATCAGACCATATCTCACTACTGTTGTTGCCTGCTTACAAGCAGAAACTTAAACGGGACAGACCGATAACAAGGACAGTACAACGATGGAGCGAGGAGTCAGATTCAGCACTGCAGGATTGCTTTGCATCTACGGATTGGAGTGTGTTTGAGGACAATAACATCAACACACACACGGACACTGTCATCTGCTACATTGGGAAATGCATCGATGACGTGGTACCGAAGGTTTCTGTACGGACATTCCCAAATCAAAAGCCCTGGGTAAACGGTGAGGTGCGCGGCAAACTGAAAGCGCGCACTCTCGCGCACACAGCGGGAGATTTGGAGGAGTACAGGAAGTCTAGGTATGATCTCCGGAGAGCAATAACAAATGCAAAGAGACAGTACAAAGAGAAGGTGGAATCTGACTTCAAAGGCTGTAACACTAGGAATATGTGGGCGGGACTAAGGACAATGACTGACTACAAAGGAGCAGCGGGGGGTGCTGCGGGAGTGTCTGCGTGCGCATCTCTCCCAGATGAGCTAAACAGTTTTTTTGCACGCTTTGAGAGCAGCCAGGCTGTGGAGGTACAGAGGGACCAGGAGCTACACTGCCCTTTTGTTTTAAACAGGGCAGATGTGTGTAAATCCTTTAAAAGGGTTAACCCACACAAGGCTCCTGGACCTGATGGCATCCCTGGCCGTGTTCTCAGGGTGTGTGCAGTTCAGCTGGCAGAGGTGTTCACAGACATCTTCAACAGGTCCCTGCTGCAGTCTGTAGTCCCCACATGTCTTAAACACTCCACCATCATTCCTGTCCCCAAAAAGACAATCATCACCTGCCCCAACGACTACCGCCCAGTAGCACTCACCTCCATCATAATGAAGTGCTTTGAGCGGTTAGTCAAATTATTCATCACCTCCTCCCTCCCTGACTCTCTGGACCCCCTGCAGTTTGCCTACAGAGCAAACAGGTCCACAGACGACGCCATAGCCCTCACCCTCCACACTGCCCTCTCACACCTGGACCCGAAGAACAGGAACACATATGTGAGAATGCTGTTCATTGACTACAGTTCAGCATTCAACACCATTGTGCCCTCCAAGCTGGCCATCAAGCTCAGAGACCTCGGGCTCAACAGCGCCCTCTGTGACTGGATCCTGAACTTCCTGACGGGCAGACCCCAGGCAGTGCGGGTGGGAAACATCACATCCTCCACCCTGATTCTCAACACCGGTGCCCCTCAAGGCTGCGTGCTCAGCCCTCTCCTCTACTCCCTGTTCACCCACGACTGCGTGGCCACACACAGCTCCAACACCATCGTGAAGTTTGCTGATGACACGACCGTCATCGGCCAGATCACAGACGATGACGAGACGGCGTACAGAGAGGAGGTCGAAAACCTGACATCTTGGTGCCAGGAGAACAACCTCCATCTCAACATCAGCAAAACAAAGGAGCTGATTGTGGATTACAGGAAGCAGCAGGGAGAGGGACACGCCCCCATCGCCATCAATGGGACTACGGTGGAGAGAGTCAAAAGCTTCAGGTTCCTTGGGGTCCACATCACTGAGGACCTGACATGGTCTCTTCACACCACCACCATCACCAAGAAAGCTCGACAGCGGCTCTTCTTCCTCCGCAGGTTGAGGAGGTTCAAAATGGATTCCAGGATACTCTGCAACTTCTACAGGTGCACGATAGAGAGTATCCTCACTGGCAGCATGACGGCCTGGTACGGCAGCTGCACCGCCCTCAATCGTAAGGCTTTACAGAGGGTGGTGAAAACTGCACAGAACATCACCAGGACGGAGCTGCCATCCATGGAGGACCTTTACTCCCAGCGGCTCAGGAAGAAATCACTACGGATTATCAAAGACCCCCATCACCCCAGCCACAAACTGTTCTTTCTGTTGCCGTCTGGCAGACGTTACCGCAGCATCCGGGCAAGGACAAGAAGATTCGGAGACAGTTTCTTCCCGCGGGCAGTGAGACTGTTAAACAATTGAACTGTTGAAACAACTTCAAACATTCAACTGCTACTCAGTAGTATGTATCTAATACCTAATATATATATATCATTCCAATAACTTGTATATAGACTCATACTGCACTATTCCACATCATAACTTTATTTCATTTTTATAACTATTATTATTTTTGTATTGCTCTTGCTCTTATTGTTATTATGTTATGTTATTATGTTGCATTGTTGGAGAAGCCTGTGACATAAGATTTTCAACTGCATAATTACTCTGTAGCTATGTCAGATTGACAATAAAGAACCTTGAACCTTGAACCTTGAACCTTGAAAGCACTTATATACTAACAAAGGACTGGCTTATCTAAAGCCTGTTGAGTAGCACTTGAAATGTTTTGGCTCTATGAAACCTGATGTACTTATATGATTCTGTTTTCTTCTAGTTTGTATCTTGTTGGTCGAATGCACTGATTGTAAGTCGCTTTGGATAAAAGCCTCAGCTAAATGTAATGTCATGTGATGACGTTTAAACACAAGTATAGCTTTCAGAGAGAAACACATGTGTGGTAGGCTGCATGATCAAATGTGTGTGTGTTCATTGCAGTGGCTTTATATGCTGTATGATTGTTGATACTGTCGGGGGCAGTTCTGTGATTGGCTGCTGTGGCAGCAGGTGATGTTTCCCCATTAGTGTTTGTTTGTTGCAACAACTAAATAATAATTACTGATCAGTCTGTGTTTGTGTTTTATTGATTCCTCTCTGTTTCATTCTTTCCTGTGGTGTTATGCTGGATCTCCAGAACACATGCTTCTCTGGTTCTGACCCGTCCCCTTGTGTTCTGAAGCTTCTGCATGTGAACGGTCTGCAGAGTCACAAACCCTCAGAGTGCACCCTGTAGAGAGTAAAGCTCTAACACAGAGCAGACCTCTCTATGCTGCCCCAGAACGCCTCGTTGGGGATTTCTCATTTTCCAAGAGAGCTCCTCTCACACCAGGACCTTTAGCGTACATTTTCAACTAACAGGGAGTCCCCATTGACTTGCATAGAGCTCCCTGAACGCTGGTAATAGACAAGTTGGGATGGTGGAGAAATGCTCTCTGCAGACCCATTCTCTCTGCAGACCCATTCTCTCTGCAGACCCATTCTCTCTACAGACCCATTCTCTCTGCAGACCCATTCTCTCTGCAGACCCATTCTCTCTGCAGACCCATTCTCTCTGCAGACCCATTCTCTCTGCAGACCCATTCTCTCTGCAGACCCATTCTCACAGCGTTAGAAACCTCTTACTCAATATCAAGCCACACTTATTGTTTTTACTTCGGCTGTGAGTGTTTGTGTGTGCTCAGGATGAGTTTCGCTTGTTCTCTCTGTATCGCCGACCCGGAAACCACACCAGTAAGCCAGCTGGTCCCGACCAATCAGAGCTCACTGGACTCACAGGGAGAGGGGGGGCAGGAGCTCCAACAAGCCGTGTAGGACAGAGAGTGAATACACATACTTTACAGAGAGGCTGTATGAGAAACCAATGTGAGTTTGGAACATTGAACAATGTACATCTATTCTAGTAGACCTCAACAATGGAACTATGATCAGTAGAAATGGCCGTGACATGGGACCTTTAAAGGAGTACAAACCACAGACTGTCTGTGTCATGGTGAATACAGTCGCTGCTTTAATTCTGTCTGTAGGCCGTTGTTGTGAGTGTGGACGGAGCATATACAACGTTAGCTTAGCCTGATCGATCTGATCTCCATTCAGAAAACACGCATTTCAAAAGGTGTTTCTCCTGCCGTCTGTCTGCAGACTTGTCAAAGCATTAATTCATGGTTTTTACTAACCGGTATCAGTATGTTGTTACTTCGGCATCATTTTGAAAACGTGTATTACAATTAAATCACGGTCAAATATGTTCATGTTGTTGTAGTTGTAGCTCCCTTGCCAGCGATTCTCTCTGACCAATCAGCAGTCGAGAGTGTTTACGTCACTAGTTTAGCATATTCAGCCCGGTTGTTGGCCCGCTAAGAACCTCGATTTTGGAGGACCAGAAAAAAGGTGAGAAAGTAGCCCTGAGCCGGAACTACCCCTAGTAGAAAAGCAAAAGAAAACGTGCTGCAGTGGAAAAGCGCCATAAGTGTCAGAAAACTGTGTGACTTCATGCCAATAATTCAGAAATCACGTTGAAATAAAGTCAGATTTTTCTTACAGTTTGTTGTGCATTTCTTTATTTCAACCCCATGCTTGTTATATATCCCCCAAAATACAAGTGGATACTGGTATTTTTAACGATTAGACCGCACTAATAATTATCATTATTTTTTAAGCAAAACAAGCAATCAGAAGTGGAGCTTTTACCTCAGTCAGCCAATCCTGGGAGGGCTGGGCGGGGTCTGTGTCGTTCTGATCGCTGATTGGATGATTCTCTGGTTTCGTGGTTTCAGCGCCATCATTGGCTTCTACACAAACACAGCAGGTCAGACGACCACAGGTTATCATATCATACTTAATACAACACAGCTTTAAAAAGCCCAGACCAAAGTGCTGTACAGTCAGATAAACAAACAAACATACACAAATAATAGTAAACCCTGAGCTCAGACTGACCCGGGGTAGGGGGGGCGCTGGAGGATGGGAGGAGGGTCTGCAGCTCTTCTGGACTCTGAGGAGAGGAAGACCATTATCATTTACCATCACCCACTCCAGCACAATGCCTGGGGCTTTTATTTTGAAAGGGTAGCTGCAGCTTTAAGTGGTTACATTTTTTATATGGTTATCAGCAGGTAGGTGTGTGTGTGTGTGTGTGTGTGTGTGTGTGTGTGTGTGTGTGTGTGTGTGTGTGTGTGTGTGTGTGTGTGTGTGTGTGTGTGTGTGTGCGTGCGTGCGTGTGTGATTACCGGTGTGTAGGTGTGTCCCAGGTGGAAGAAGGAGCTGATGCTGCTGCTGTAGGAGAGGAGCTCTTCCAGGAGCAGGGGGGGGAGACGCTCCAACACCTCCCCCTGATCAGAGACACACTGTGTGCAGCTACACACACACACACACACACACACACACACACACACACACACACACACACACACACACACACACACACACACACACACACACACACACACACACACACACACACACACACACACACACACACACACACACACACACACACACACACACACACACACACACCTTCACATTAAAAGACTTGTTTCACTGTCAGTCAACCTCTCCGCTGCCTTTAGCATTAGCATTAGCATGTGCGCTGTGTTTGATGTCCTGCAGGTATTGGACACACTTAGCATTAGCATTAGCATGTGCGCTGCAGTACCTGTGTTTGATGTCCTGCAGGTATAGGACACATCTCTCCAGGTTTGTCCTCAGATTGTCCTCGCTGCTCCCCTGACGCAGCGCCCCCAGCAGGTCGTCAAGATGCACCTTCCTCCTCTGAGGGGAAAACAGAAAAAGGCAAACCTGTGATGGAAACTTCTGGATCAATAGAGACTCAAAGAGACTCAGAGAGACACAGAGAGACTCAAAGAGACTCAGAGAGACTCAGAGAGACTCAGAGAGACTCAGAGAGACTCAGAGAGACTTAGAGAGACACAGAGAGACTCAGAGAGACTCAGAGAGACTCAGAGAGACTCAAAGAGACACAGAGAGACTCAGAGAGACTCAGAGAGACTCAGAGAGACTCAGAGAGACTCAGAGAGACTTAGAGAGACACAGAGAGACTCAGAGAGACTCAGAGAGACTCAGAGAGACTCAAAGAGACACAGAGAGACTCAGAGAGACAAAGAGAGACTCAGAGAGACTCAGAGAGACACAGAGGGACAAAGAGAGACTCAGAGAGACAAAGAGAGACAAAGAGAGACTCAGAGAGACTCAGATAGACACAGAGAGACTTAGAGAGACTCAGAGAGACAAAGAGAGACACAGAGAGACTCAGAGAGACTCAGATAGACACAGAGAGACAAAGAGAGACAAAGAGAGACTCAGAGAGACTCAGATAGACACAGAGAGACTTAGAGGGACAAAGAGAGACTCAGAGAGACACAGAGAGACTTAGAGAGACTTAGAGAGACACAGAGAGACTCAGAGAGACTCAGAGAGACACAGAGAGACTCAGAGAGACTCAGATAGACACAGAGATACTCAGAGAGACTTAGAGAGACACAGAGAGACTCAGAGAGACTTAGAGAGACACAGAGAGACTCAGATAGACACAGAGAGACTCAGAGAGACTCAGATAGACACAGAGAGACTCAGAGAGACTTAGAGAGACACAGAGAGACTCAGAGAGACTTAGAGAGACACAGAGAGACTCAGAGAGACTCAGAGAGACTCAGATAGACACAGAGAGACTCAGAGAGACTTAGAGGGACACAGGGAGACTCAGAGAGACTCAGATAGACTCAGAGAGACTTAGAGAGACACAGAGAGACTTAGAGAGACACAGAGAGACTTAGAGAGACTTAGAGAGACACAGAGAGACTCAGAGAGACTCAGAGAGACTTAGAGAGACTTAGAGAGACACAGAGAGACTCAGAGAGACTCAGATAGACTCAGAGAGACTTAGAGAGACACAGAGAGACTTAGAGAGACACAGAGAGACTCAGAGAGACACAGAGAGACTCAGAGAGACTCAGAGAGACACAGAGAGACACAGAGAGACACAGAGAGACTTAGAGAGACACAGAGAGACTTAGAGAGACACAGAGAGACTCAGAGAGACTCAGAGAGACTTAGAGAGACTTAGAGAGACACAGAGAGACTCAGAGAGACTCAGAGAGACTTAGAGAGACTTAGAGAGACACAGAGAGACTCAGAGAGACTCAGATAGACTCAGAGAGACTTAGAGAGACACAGAGAGACTTAGAGAGACACAGAGAGACTCAGAGAGACACAGAGAGACTCAGAGAGACTCAGAGAGACACAGAGAGACACAGAGAGACTTAGAGAGACACAGAGAGACTTAGAGAGACACAGAGAGACTCAGAGAGACTCAGAGAGACTTAGAGAGACTCAGAGAGACTCAGAGAGACTCAGATAGACTCAGAGAGACTTAGAGAGACACAGAGAGACTTAGAGAGACACAGAGAGACTTAGAGAGACACAGAGAGACTCAGATAGACTCAGAGAGAGGGGCTCACCTGTGAGGGGCTCACCTGTGAGGGTCTCACCTGGGAGAGGCTCACCTGTGAGGGGCTCACCTATGGGGGGCTCTCCTGGGAGGGGCTCACCTGTGAGGGGCTCACCTGTGAGGGTCTCACCTGGGAGAGGCTCACCTGTGAGGGGCTCACCTATGGGGGGCTCACCTGTGAGGGGCTCACCTGTGAGGGTCTCACCTGGGAGAGGCTCACCTGTGAGGGGCTTACCTGTGAGGGTCTCTCCTGGGAGAGGCTCACCTGTGAGGGTCTCACCTGGGAGAGGCTCACCTGCGAGGGGCTCAGCTGGGGGGGGGCTCACCTGTGTGTTTCTCTGCTGTGAGCGTCGCAGGTCCTCCAGGTGTTGTTTTATTTCTTCTTCTCTGGTCTCTAACCTGCGGCTGTGCGTCTCCCATAGCAACGCTGCCCCTCGCATCACAACAAACACACACCTGGTGAGAGCAAGTGCACGGCAGGTAGCAGAGTCACTGCAGCGCTGCAGACAGACAGGTAGAGAGAGAGACAGGTTACAGACAGACAGGTAGAGAGAGAGACAGGTTACAGACAGACAGGTAGAGAGAGAGACAGGTTACAGACAGACAGGTAGAGAGAGAGACTGGTTACAGACAGGTTACAGACAGGTTACAGACAGACAGGTAAAGAGAGAGACAGGTTACAGACAGACAGGTAGAGAGAGAGACAGGTTACAGACAGACAGGTAGAGAGAGAGACTGGTTACAGACAGACAGGTTACAGACAGACAGGTAGAGAGAGAGACAGGTTACAGACAGACAGGTAGAGAGAGAGACTGGTTACAGACAGACAGGTAGAGAGAGAGACAGGTTACAGACAGACAGGTAGAGAGAGAGAGAGACTGGTTACAGACAGGTTACAGACAGACAGGTAAAGAGAGAGACAGGTTACAGACAGACAGGTAGAGAGAGAGACAGGTTACAGACAGACAGGTAGAGAGAGAGACTGGTTACAGACAGACAGGTTGCAGACAGACAGGTAGAGAGAGAGACAGGTTACAGACAGACAGGTAGAGAGAGAGACTGGTTACAGACAGGTTACAGACAGACAGGTAGAGAGAGAGACAGGTTACAGACAGACAGGTAGAGAGAGAGACAGGTTACAGACAGGTTACAGACAGACAGGTAGAGAGAGAGACAGGTTACAGACAGACAGGTAGAGAGAGAGACTGGTTACAGACAGGTTACAGACAGACAGGTAGAGAGAGAGACAGGTTACAGACAGACAGGTAGAGAGAGAGACTGGTTACAGACAGGTTACAGACAGACAGGTAGAGAGAGAGACTGGTTACAGACAGACAGGTTACAGACAGACAGGTAGAGAGAGAGACTGGTTACAGACAGACAGGTTACAGACAGACAGGTTACAGACAGACAGGTAGAGAGAGAGACTGGTTACAGACAGGTTACAGACAGACAGGTAGAGAGAGAGACAGGTTACAGACAGACAGGTAGAGAGAGAGACAGGTTACAGACAGACAGGTTACAGACAGACAGGTAGAGAGAGAGACATGTTACAGACAGACAGGTTACAGACAGACAGGTAGAGGGAGAGACTGGTTACAGACAGACAGGTTACAGACAGACAGGTAGAGGGAGAGACTGGTTACAGACAGACAGGTTACAGACAGACAGGTAGAGAGAGAGACAGGTTACAGACAGACAGGTAGAGAGAGAGACTGGTTACAGACAGGTTACAGACAGACAGGTAGAGAGAGAGACAGGTTACAGACAGACAGGTAGAGAGAGAGACTGGTTACAGACAGACAGGTTACAGACAGACAGGTAGAGAGAGAGACTGGTTACAGACAGACAGGTTACAGACAGACAGGTAGAGAGAGAGACTGGTTACAGACAGGTTACAGACAGACAGGTAGAGAGAGAGACAGGTTACAGACAGACAGGTTACAGACAGACAGGTTACAGACAGACAGGTTACAGACAGACAGGTAGAGAGAGAGACAGGTTACAGACAGACAGGTAGAGAGAGAGACATGTTACAGACAGACAGGTTACAGACAGACAGGTAGAGGGAGAGACTGGTTACAGACAGACAGGTTACAGACAGACAGGTAGAGAGAGAGACTGGTTACAGACAGACAGGTTACAGACAGACAGGTAGAGGGAGAGACTGGTTACAGACAGACAGGTTACAGACAGACAGGTAGAGAGAGAGACTGGTTACAGACAGACAGGTTACAGACAGACAGGTTACAGACAGACAGGTAGAGGGAGAGACTGGTTACAGACAGACAGGTTACAGACAGACAGGTAGAGAGAGAGACTGGTTACAGACAGACAGGTTACAGACAGACAGGTTACAGACAGACAGGTAGAGGGAGAGACTGGTTACAGACAGACAGGTTACAGACAGACAGGTTACAGACAGACAGGTAGAGGGAGAGACTGGTTACAGACAGACAGGTTACAGACAGACAGGTAGAGAGAGAGACTGGTTACAGACAGACAGGTTACAGACAGACAGGTAGAGGGAGAGACTGGTTACAGACAGACAGGTTACAGACAGACAGGTTACAGACAGACAGGTAGAGGGAGAGACTGGTTACAGACAGACAGGTTACAGACAGACAGGTTACAGACAGACAGGTAGAGAGAGAGACTGGTTACAGACAGACAGGTTACAGACAGACAGGTTACAGACAGACAGGTAGAGGGAGAGACTGGTTACAGACAGACAGGTTACAGACAGACAGGTAGAGAGAGAGACTGGTTACAGACAGACAGGTTACAGACAGACAGGTTACAGACAGACAGGTAGAGAGAGAGACTGGTTACAGACAGACAGGTTACAGACAGACAGGTAGAGGGAGAGACTGGTTACAGACAGACAGGTTACAGACAGACAGGTAGAGGGAGAGACTGGTTACAGACAGACAGGTTACAGACAGACAGGTAGAGAGAGAGACTGGTTACAGACAGACAGGTTACAGACAGACAGGTAGAGAGAGAGACTGGTTACAGACAGACAGGTTACAGACAGACAGGTAGAGAGAGAGACAGGTTACAGACATACAGGGTACAGACAGACAGGTTACAGACAGACAGGTAGAGGGAGAGACTGGCAGGCTGAGGAGGTTCAACATGGACTCCAGGATACTCTGCAACTTCTACAGGTGCTCCATAGAGAGCCTCCTGACCTTCTACAGGTGCTCCATAGAGAGCCTCCTGACCTTCTACAGGTGCACCACAGAGAGGACCCTGACCTTCTACAGGTGCTCCATAGAGAGCCTCCTGACCTTCTACAGGTGCACCATAGAGAGCCTCCTGACCTTCTACAGGTGCACCACAGAGAGGACCCTGACCTTCTACAGGTGCTCCATAGAGAGCCTCCTGACCTTCTACAGGTGCACCATAGAGAGCCTCCTGACCTTCTACAGGTGCACCATAGAGAGCCTCCTGACCTTCTACAGGTGCTCCATAGAGAGCCTCCTGACCTTCTACAGGTGCTCCATAGAGAGGGTCCTGACCTTCTACAGGTGCTCCATAGAGAGGGTCCTGACCTTCTACAGGTGCTCCATAGAGATGGTCCTGACCTTCTACAGGTGCTCCATAGAGAGGGTCCTGACCTTCTACAGGTGCTCCATAGAGAGGGTCCTGACCTTCTACAGGTGCACCATAGAGAGCATCCTGACCTTCCACAGGTGCTCCATAGAGAGGGTCCTGACCTTCTACAGGTGCTCCATAGAGAGGGTCCTGACCTTCTACAGGTGCTCCATAGAGAGGGTCCTGACCTTCTACAGGTGCTCCATAGAGAGGGTCCTGACCTTCTACAGGTGCTCCATAGAGAGGACCCTGAACTTCTACAGGTGCTCCATAGAGAGCCTCCTGACCTTCTACAGGTGCTCCATAGAGAGGGTCCTGACCTTCTACAGGTGCTCCATAGAGAGGACCCTGAACTTCTACAGGTGCTCCATAGAGAGCCTCCTGACCTTCTACAGGTGCTCCATAGAGAGGACCCTGACCTTCTACAGGTGCTCCATAGAGAGGACCCTGACCTTCTACAGGTGAGCATCCTGACCTTCTACAGGTGCTCCATAGAGAGTACCCTGACCTGGAGGGTACCGCATCAGTGTTAATTTCGTCAACGAAAACTATGACGAAAAATGTTCGTCAACGACCTTTTTTACACGACTAAGACGAGACGATGACGAGCTAAACATAGATTCTTGATAACGAAAACTTTGACGAAATGTATTTAGTTTTCGTTGACGAGACGAGACGGGACTGAGGTGTTAATGGTGGACTATCGGACAAATGCAGGGTCTTTCCCCCAAAGTGTCCGTCTGGTCTGTCAAAATGCATCTTACGTTTCTATCTTGCAATATCATTATTTCCGCTCTCTTCACTCCAGAAGAGCGATCACTTTCTCTCTCTGTGTGCGGGGGGCGGGCCCTCACTCTCTCTCTGTGTGCGGGGGGCGGGGCCTCACTCTCTCTCTGTGTGCGGGGGGCGGGGCCTAACTGTCTCTCTGTGTGCGGGGGCGGGGCCTCACAGACACGCTGCAGCGGCACACAGAGAGAGCGGAGCGTTCAGAGAGTATAGAGACACTCTACAAGGCTCGATGTGGACAAAGCTCGTTTGCCATGTTTTGGCGTTAGCGCGTTGACACGAGTAGTCTGTCCAAACAGCCGGCCAAAAGGCGTCATATTCAGTCGGAGAAATGCACAATTTTCGACTTCCTTAACTCGTAGCTCTGTTGCCCGAGTAACATTATCACATCAGGTGTGCAGAGGTGGGAGAAGTACTCAGATCTTGTAGTTAAGTAAAAAAATACCATAGTGTAGGAAGAGTTCCTCAAGTCAAAGTATGATCATCAAAATATAGTGAAAGTAGCGACAGTAAAAGTAGTCATTGTGCAGATTGGTCCATTTCAGAATAATATATATGATATGTTTTATAATGATTGATCATGAAAGTGTTCTCAAAGCTGGTAAAGGTGCAGCTAGTTTGAAGGACTTTGTATACTGCAGGGTAGCTTGTGGATTTACTCCAGGTGGAACTAAAGTCTGATTTAACACTTGATTATAATTCACATCATTCATCCACATCTGTGAAGTAACTGAAGGTATTAATACATGTAGTGGAGGAAAAGTACACCATGTACCTATGAACTGTAGAGGAGTAGAAGTACACAGTAGCATAACATTTAAATACTCCAGTAAAGTACAAGTACCTCAACATTTTACTCAAGTACAGTACAATATTTTAACATAATTATATATATTTCATTTATTTCACATTTAAATAAAGCAATTAATTCGGTTAACAATGTTAGTTTTTCCCTTTAAAAAATAACAAAAGTAAATACAAGAATACCGTTAAAGTACCGGATCGATAAGCAGTATTGATAAGACTAGCAGTACCGTAGAAAACCTTAACGATACCCATCCCTAGATATTACACAAGTAAAGTGTAAAGAGAGTGAAATGTTGCTTTACGACTTTCAACACTTGGTGCTGTCACCTTGATTCAGATTTCAGATTCCTGTATTTGCCTAACTGAATTGGTTTAAAGAGAGAAAACATTTTGACTAAAACTAGACTAAAACTATGAAGGACAGAAATGACTAAAATGTGACTAAAACTAATAACCATTTTCGTCTAAAGACTCAATCAGAAACAGCTTCCAAAATGAACACTGCACCGCAGCATCTGGACTAAAACCACCAGACTCATTGTCCCCACAGGCCATCAGACTGTTAAACACCTGAACTAGAACATCCATAACATTCACCTGTTTGCAACTTTAACAAAAATATATCTATTTATCTAATTTATCATATTCCAATGATTTATAGACTATTCTATTTGATCTGTTTTATTGTGTTGCGCTGTTGGAGGAGCCTGAAAAAAGACTAATCCCATCACAGTTCAATTTTGTGCATTCATCTTCAAGAAGATGAGCATATCTGCTCTCTCTGGATCCAAACGGGCCCTTTCACAGCGTAGGATATCACCTGCTAAACTGAACACTCTCTCGCTTGGCACGCTGCTTCCCTGAACACAAAGGTACTTGGTTGCCATACGAGACAGCATTGGTTGGAGATTGGATGTGTTGCCACCTTTCCCAGAAATAAACTTCTTGCAGTGGTTACAGACCCCACCATTCAGACTGGCAGTGGTTACAGACCCCACCATTCAGACTGGCAGTGGTTACAGACCCCACCATTCAGACTGGTAGTGGTTACAGACCCCACCATTCAGACTGGCAGTGGTTACAGACCCCACCATTCAGACTGGTAGTGGTTACAGACCCCACCATTCAGACTGGCAGTGGTTACAGACCCCACCATTCAGACTGGCAGTGGTTACAGACCCCACCATTCAGACTGGCAGTGGTTACAGACCCCACCATTCAGACTGGCAGTGGTTACAGACCCCACCATTCAGACAGGCAGTGGTTACAGACCCCACCATTCAGACAGGCAGTGGTTACAGACCCCACCATTCAGACTGGCAGTGGTTACAGACCCCACCATTCAGACAGGCAGTGGTTACAGACCCCACCATTCAGACTGGTAGTGGTTACAGACCCCACCATTCAGACAGGCAGTGGTTACAGACCCCACCATTCAGACTGGCAGTGGTTACAGACCCCACCATTCAGACTGGCAGTGGTTACAGACCCCACCATTCAGACTGGTAGTGGTTACAGACCCCACCATTCAGACTGGCAGTGGTTACAGACCCCACCATTCAGACTGGTAGTGGTTACAGACCCCACCATTCAGACTGGCAGTGGTTACAGACCCCACCATTCGACTGGCAGTGGTTACAGACCCCACCATTCAGACTGGCAGTGGTTACAGACCCCACCATTCAGACTGGCAGTGGTTACAGGACCCACCATTCAGACTGGCAGTGGTGTTACAGACCCCACCATTCAGACTGGCAGTGGTTACAGACCCCACCATTCAGACTGGCAGTGGTTACAGACCCCACCATTCAGACAGGCAGTGGTTACAGACCCCACCATTCAGACATGGCAGTGGTTACAGACCCCACCATTCAGACTGGCAGTGGTTACAGACCCCACCATTCAGACAGGCAGTGGTTACAGACCCCACCATTCAGACAGGGCAGTGGTTACAGACCCCACCATTCAGACTGGCAGTGGTTACAGACCCCACCATTCAGACTGGTAGTGGTTACAGACCCCACCATTCAGACTGGCAGTGGTTACAGACCCCACCATTCAGACTGGTAGTGGTTACAGACCCCACCATTCAGACTGGCAGTGGTTACAGACCCCACCATTCAGACTGGCAGTGGTTACAGACCCCACCATTCAGACTGGCAGTGGTTTACAGACCCCACCATTCAGACTGGCAGTGGTTACAGACCCCACCATTCAGACTGGCAGTGGTTACAGACCCCACCATTCAGACAGGCAGTGGTTACAGACCCCACCATTCAGACAGGCAGTGGTTACAGACCCCACCATTCAGACTGGTAGTCATATGCAGCCACACTTTAGATTTTCAAAAGTGACTTGGTTGCGGAGTTTCACTGCGAAATTGACATCGTAATTCCGACGGTTTGGGCACAAGTTTAAGGATATTATGCCACACTTTTATTAAAAAAAAAAGTAAAAAAAAAGTAAAAAAATTAAATAAAAAAAAAGTATCGAAAACCGGATCTGATTTCGGTACGGTATACCGTAGCCACCAGTAACCGGTATTTCGGTAATACCGGGAACCGGTATGCACCCCTACAGACAGGTTACAGACAGGTTACAGACAGACAGACAAGTTACAGACAGATTACAGATAGGTTACAGACAGACAGGTAGAGGGAGAGACAGGTTACAGACAGACAGGTTACAGACAGACAGGTTACAGACAGACCGGTTACAGACAGACCGGTTACAGACAGACAGGTTACAGACAGACCGGTTACAGACAGACCGGTTACAGACAGACCGGTTACAGACAGACCGGTAGAGGGAGAGACAGGTTACAGACAGACAGGTTACAGACAGACAGGTTACAGACAGACAGGTTACAGACAGACCGGTTACAAACAGACCGGTAGAGGGAGAGACAGGTTACAGACAGACCGGTTACAGACAGGTTACAGACAGACCGGTTACAGACAGACCGGTAGAGGGAGAGACAGGTTACAGACAGACAGGTTACAGACAGACCGGTTACAGACAGACCGGTTACAGACAGACCGATTACAGACAGACCGGTAGAGGGAGAGACAGGTTACAGACAGACCGGTTACAGACAGACCGGTTACAGACAGACCGGTTACAGACAGACCGGTAGAGGGAGAGACAGGTTACAGACAGACCGGTAGAGGGAGAGACAGGTTACAGACAGACCGGTTACAGACAGACCGGTAGAGGGAGAGACAGGTTACAGACAGACCGGTAGAGAGAGAGACTGGTTACAGACAGACTGGTTACAGACAGACAGGTAGAGGGAGAGACAGGTTACAGACAGACCGGTTACAGACAGACCGGTAGAGGGAGAGACAGGTTACAGACAGACCGGTAGAGGGAGAGACAGGTTACAGACAGACAGGTAGGGGGACTGACCTCTAAAGCAGCCAATCGCTCTTCAACCTGACTTTGGCTTTGTCCAATCAGAGTGAGGAGCTGAGAGTTGATGATGTCACTCACTTCCTGCTCTGACAGCTGCAGAGCTGACAGCGCCTCCTGCAGGAGAGATCAAATAATAATAATAATGTTTAAAAAATCATAATATATATATATATATAATCTGGTGTAATATAATGTGTTCACCTCACAGCGCTCCACCTCTGCCAGTCCATCCTGCCACTGCTGTTCATAACAACAACGCAGCTGATGCAGGAAGTCAGTGTGAAGAGCGTCTATAACACACACACACACACACACACACACACACACACACACACACACACACACACACACACACACACACACACACACACACACACACACACACACACACACACACACACACACACACACACACACACACACACACACACACACACACACACACACACACACACACACACACACACACACACACACACACACACACACACACACACACACACACACACACACACACACACACTTCACTATCAATCTAGACATGGGAACCTGAACATCCCTGTGTGTGTGTGTGTGTGTGTGTGTGTGTGTGTGTGTGTGTGTGTGTGTGTGTGTGTGTGTGTGTGTGTGTGTGTGTGTGTGTGTGTGTGTACTGAGGTGTGTTACCGATCTGTTGATTGATGGCTGACAGCTGGTTGAACCAATCAGAGACCAGGACAGTGGAGCAGGAGGGTGGGACCAGAAAGCTGAAACAGAGACACTGATTGGTCACTTTTCCTGATATAGATGTACCAATGAGTTGCAAGAAGCAGCAGCAGCTCCATGTTAGCATGTTAGCATAGCTTTCTACAGCAGCTCTGTGGTCAGACTGGTGGTTCTGGTTTGAACATCTCACCAGATCCTGTAGACCATGTCTTCACGATGTTTTGTCAGATCTGGTTTCAGCTTCTGTAGCAGCGGCTCCCCCTCACTGCTGCAGAGAGCCCTGCAACACAAACACACTTGAACTGTTTTCATCAGCACTTTCTGTGTCTCAGACCTTATTTTATCCACCTGAAGCAGTCTATAACCTGGTTCCTCACCCACATGAAGCAGTCTATAACCTGGTTCTCCACCCACCTGAAGCAGTCTATAACCTGGTTCCTCACCCACCTGAAGCAGTCTATAACCTGGTTCCTCACCCACCTGAAGCAGTCTATAACCTGGTTCTCCACCCACCTGAAGCAGTCTATAACCTGGTTCCTCACCCACCTGAAGCAGTCTATAACCTGGTTCCTCACCCACCTGAAGCAGTCTATAACCTGGTTCTCCACCCACCTGAAGCAGTCTATAACCTGGTTCCTCACCCACCTGAAGCAGTCTATAACCTGGTTCCTCACCCACCTGAAGCGGTCTATAACCTGGTTCCTCACCCACCTGAAGCAGTCTATAACCTGGTTCCTCACCCACCTGAAGCGGTCTATAACCTGGTTCCTCACCCACCTGAAGCAGTCTATAACCTGGTTCCTCACCCACCTGAAGAAGTCTATAACCTGGTTCCTCACCCACCTGAAGCAGTCTATAACCTGATTCCTCACCCACCTGAAGCTGTCTATAACCTGGTTCCTCACCCACCTGAAGCAGTCTATAACCTGGTTCCCTCCACCTGAAGCAGTCTATAACCTGGTTCCTCACCCACCTCAAGCAGTCTATAACCTGGTTCCTCACCCACCTGAAGCAGTCTATAACCTGGTTCCTCACCCACCTGAAGCAGTCTATAACCTGGTTCCTCACCCACCTGAAGCAGTCTATAACCTGGTTCCTCACCCACCTGAAGCGGTCTATAACCTGGTTCCTCACCCACCTGAAGCAGTCTATAATCTGGTTCCTCACCCACCTGAAGCAGTCTATAATCTGGTTCCTCACCCACCTGAAGCGGTCTATAACCTGGTTCCCTCCACCTGAAGCAATCTATAACCTGGTTCCTCCCCCACCTGAAGCGGTCTATGACCTGGTTCCTCCCCCACCTGAAGCGGTCTATAACCTGGTTCCTCACCCACCTGAAGCAGTCTATAACATGGTTCCTCACCCACCTGAAGCAGTCTATAACCTGGTTCCTCACCCACCTGAAGCGGTCTATAACCTGGTTCCTCACCCACCTGAAGCAGTCTATAATCTGGTTCCTCACCCACCTGAAGCAGTCTATAATCTGGTTCCTCACCCACCTGAAGCGGTCTATAACCTGGTTCCCTCCACCTGAAGCAATCTATAACCTGGTTCCTCACCCACCTGAAGCAGTCTATGACCTGGTTCCTCCCCCACCTGAAGCGGTCTATAACCTGGTTCCTCACCCACCTGAAGCGGTCTATGACCTGGTTCCCTCCACCTGAAGCGGTCTATGACCTGGTTCCCCACCCACCTGAAGCGGTCTATAACCTGGTTCCTCCCCCACCTGAAGCGGTCTATGACCTGGTTCCTCCCCCACCTGAAGGGGTCTATAACCTGGTTCCTCACCCACCTGAAGCGGTCTATGACCTGGTTCCCTCCACCTGAAGCGGTCTATGACCTGGTTCCTCACCCACATGAAGCGGTCTATAACCTGGTTCTCCACCCACCTGAAGCGGTCTATGACCTGGTTCCCTCCACCTGAAGCGGTCTATAACCTGGTTCTCCACCCACCTGAAGCGGTCTATGACCTGGTTCCTCACCCACATGAAGCGGTCTATAACCTGGTTCTCCACCCACCTGAAGCGGTCTATGACCTGGTTCCCCACCCACCTGAAGCGGTCTATAACCTGGTTCCTCCCCCACCTGAAGCGGTCTATGACCTGGTTCCTCCCCCACCTGAAGCGGTCTATAACCTGGTTCCTCACCCACCTGAAGCAGTCTATAACCTGGTTCCTCACCCACCTGAAGCAGTCTATAACCTGGTTCCTCACCCACCTGAAGCGGTCTATAACCTGGTTCCTCACCCACCTGAAGCAGTCTATAATCTGGTTCCTCACCCACCTGAAGCAGTCTATAATCTGGTTCCTCACCCACCTGAAGCGGTCTATAACCTGGTTCCCTCCACCTGAAGCAATCTATAACCTGGTTCCTCACCCACCTGAAGCAGTCTATAACCTGGTTCCTCACTCACCTGAAGCGGTCTATAACCTGGTTCCTCACCCACCTGAAGCAGTCTATAACCTGGTTCCTCACCCACCTGAAGCAGTCTATAACCTGGTTCCTCACCCACCTGAAGCGGTCTATAACCTGGTTCCTCACCCACCTGAAGCGGTCTATAACCTGGTTCCTCCCCAACCTGAAGCGGTCTATAACCTGGTTCCCTCCACCTGAAGCGGTCTATAACCTGGTTCCTCCCCCACCTGAAGCGGTCTATAACCTGGTTCCTCACCCACCTGAAGCGGTCTATGACCTGGTTCCTCACCCACCTGAAGCGGTCTATAACCTGGTTCTCCACCCACCTGAAGCGGTCTATGACCTGGTTCCCTCCACCTGAAGCGGTCTATGACCTGGTTCCTCACCCACATGAAGCGGTCTATAACCTGGTTCTTCACCCACCTGAAGCGGTCTATGACCTGGTTCCCTCCACCTGAAGCGGTCTATAACCTGGTTCTCCACCCACCTGAAGCGGTCTATAACCTGATTCTCCACCCACCTGAAGCGGTCTATGACCTGGTTCCCTCCACCTGAAGCGGTCTATAACCTGGTTCCTCACCCACCTGAAAAGGTCTATAACCTGGTTCTCCACCCACCTGAAGCGGTCTATGACCTGGTTCCCTCCACCTGAAGCGGTCTATGACCTGGTTCCTCCCCCACCTGAAGCGGTCTATGACCTGGTTCCTCCCCCACCTGAAGCGGTCTATAACCTGGTTCCTCACCCACCTGAAGCGGTCTATGACCTGGTTCCCTCCACCTGAAGCGGTCTATGACCTGGTTCTCCACCCACCTGAAGCGGTCTATAACCTGGTTCTCCACCCACCTGAAGCGGTCTATGACCTGGTTCCTCACCCACCTGAAGCGGTCTATAACCTGGTTCTCCACCCACCTGAAGCGGTCTATGACCTGGTTCCCTCCACCTGAAGCGGTCTATAACCTGGTTCTCCACCCACCTGAAGCGGTCTGTAACCTGGTTCTCCACCCACCTGAAGCAGTCTGTAACCTGGTTCTCCACCCACCTGAAGCGGTCTATAACCTGGTTCTCCACCCACCTGAAGCGGTCTGTAACCTGGTTCTCCACCCACCTGAAGCAGTCTGTAACCTGGTTCTCCACCCACCTGAAGCGGTCTATAACCTGGTTCTCCACCCACCTGAAGCGGTCTATGACCTGGTTCCCTCCACCTGAAGCGGTCTATAACCTGGTTCTCCACCCACCTGAAGCGGTCTATAACCTGGTTCCCTCCACCTGAAGCGGTCTATAACCTGGTTCCTCCCCCACCTGAAGCGGTCTATAACCTGGTTCCTCACCCACCTGAAGCGGTCTATAACCTGGTTCCTCCCCCACCTGAAGCGGTCTATGACCTGGTTCCTCCCCCACCTGAAGCGGTCTATAACCTGGTTCCTCACCCACCTGAAAAGGTCTATAACCTGGTTCCTCACCCACCTGAAGCGGTCTATGACCTGGTTCCCTCCACCTGAAGCGGTCTATGACCTGGTTCTCCACCCACCTGAAGTGGTCTATAACCTGGTTCTCCACCCACCTGAAGCGGTCTATGACCTGTTTCCTCACCCACCTGAAGCGGTCTATGACCTGGTTCCCTCCACCTGAAGCGGTCTATAACCTGGTTCTCCACCCACCTGAAGCGGTCTATAACCTGGTTCCCTCCACCTGAAGCGGTCTATAACCTGGTTCCTCCCCCACCTGAAGCGGTCTATAACCTGGTTCCTCACCCACCTGAAGCGGTCTATAACCTGGTTCCTCCCCCACCTGAAGCGGTCTATGACCTGGTTCCTCCCCCACCTGAAGCGGTCTATAACCTGGTTCCTCACCCACCTGAAGCGGTCTATGACCTGGTTCCCTCCACCTGAAGCGGTCTATGACCTGGTTCCCCACCCACCTGAAGCGGTCTATAACCTGGTTCCTCCCCCACCTGAAGCGGTCTATGACCTGGTTCCTCCCCCACCTGAAGCGGTCTATAACCTGGTTCCTCACCCACCTGAAGCGGTCTATGACCTGGTTCCCTCCACCTGAAGCGGTCTATGACCTGGTTCCCTCCACCTGAAGCGGTCTATAACCTGGTTCTCAACCCACCTGAAGCGGTCTATAACCTGGTTCCCTCCACCTGAAGCGGTCTATAACCTGGTTCCTCCCCCACCTGAAGCGGTCTATAACCTGGTTCCTCACCCACCTGAAGCGGTCTATAACCTGGTTCCTCCCCCACCTGAAGCGGTCTATGACCTGGTTCCTCCCCCACCTGAAGCGGTCTATAACCTGGTTCCTCACCCACCTGAAAAGGTCTATAACCTGGTTCCTCACCCACCTGAAGCGGTCTATGACCTGGTTCCCTCCACCTGAAGCGGTCTATGACCTGGTTCTCCACCCACCTGAAGCGGTCTATAACCTGGTTCTCCACCCACCTGAAGCGGTCTATGACCTGTTTCCTCACCCACCTGAAGCGGTCTATGACCTGGTTCCCTCCACCTGAAGCGGTCTATAACCTGGTTCTCCACCCACCTGAAGCGGTCTATAACCTGGTTCCCTCCACCTGAAGCGGTCTATAACCTGGTTCCTCCCCCACCTGAAGCGGTCTATAACCTGGTTCCTCACCCACCTGAAGCGGTCTATAACCTGGTTCCTCCCCCACCTGAAGCGGTCTATGACCTGGTTCCTCCCCCACCTGAAGCGGTCTATAACCTGGTTCCTCACCCACCTGAAGCGGTCTATGACCTGGTTCCCTCCACCTGAAGCGGTCTATGACCTGGTTCCCCACCCACCTGAAGCGGTCTATAACCTGGTTCCTCCCCCACCTGAAGCGGTCTATGACCTGGTTCCTCCCCCACCTG